CTCCGCGGGTCTGCCCCTTCTGGGAATTAACCTTAACGGGAATTAAAATCAAGGTTTTTTATTATTTGTGGTCATTCAAGCCCCCACGTTGCTCACTGAGGGTCTGAGGGGGGCTCAGTGCCAGCTCAGGGCGATGACCACGGCCTCTTCCCAGCAGCGTTCCCTCGGCAGCGGTAGCAGGATGGGGAATTCTCCTTCCCCGTATGAGCTCGGCCTGCTCCAGAGGCAGTTGTGTTTCCGTGGCGTGGTACGGAAGGCGTTGCTTCCCCGTGGATGCCGTGGAAGAGGAGATTCCTCCAGGCTCTGCGCCCAAGGACCGGTGGCCAACGTGTCTGGAGGGTTTGGGGCCGCTTTCCTTCCACCTTGGGCAGCTCGCTTGGTTTTGCCATTGCACCGTGCTCGGTTTGAGACCAAAGCAGGATGCCCGGAGAGCTCCACCAGGGCTGGAAGGACCAGAACAAAACCCCGGGCCCTGCGGGGTGGTGCCGTGGTCCTGCCGTGTGATTTTCGGAGCCCTGCACCCATTCGGGAGCCGCCTGCTGCGGTCTGGTTTCTCAGAGCAGCCTTCACGTCGTGAATCCATCAATTCAGGCTGCGGTGAGCGAGCCCCTGTGTTGAGAGCCGGGGCGTGAGCGGCTTCCCAGAGCTCAGAGCCTTCAGGAGGGGAATCCTGGGGGGCTGCAGGGGATCCCGGCTGCGGGACACAGAGCCAACATTGTCCGCGGAGCGGCCACGGAGCCGTGCAGGACGCGGTTTCCGCCCTGCCCTTCAATAGCTGCATGGTCACGGTCATGTCATATGTCTCCCCCAGCGCTTCGCCCCAGATGTGATGTCCAGTTAAGATAGAAGAAAGCTGAATTCACTCTTTTTTTTTTTGCCCCGTTTGGCTGCGTTACCTGCTGAACGTGAAAGTTTTCTTCCTGCCGCGTTACCAAAATGGTGGGTAGAGAGGGGAAAAAGAAAACAAAACACGGCGGTGCACTTTTGGTTTATTTATTTCCTTTTTTTTATTTATTACACCATGCAGTTCGCTCCTGCCCATGTGCAGGGTCTTCGCCTCGACAACATGCATCTGCTCGGCAGGTCCACATAATTTGGATAGTTTGGCACTAAACCGCCGGCAGCGCATTCCTTTCGGAGAGCAGTTGAATTTTAATGGCAGCACACGGAGGAGCTGCAGCGGCGGCTTCCCCCCCGGCAGGCAGAACGCCCTCCTTCCCTCCTGCCTGCCCCCGTCCCACCTTTTCGGGCTGGTTTTTATCTCCAGGGATTGATTTCCCCGCTCGGGGACGTGTCCCCACGGCTGGAGGAAGGAAGGGGGAGCTGGGAGGATTGCTCCCTAAATAGAAATGGAAGAAAAAACGCTCGTCCCTCCCGCTGGTGGTGGGTGAGGGATGGGAGCACGTTTGGGCCTTGGGCAGCAAACCCCTTTTTCTTCTTTTTCATAGCATCATTGGTTTAATAATTTCTTCCCAGCGTGCAGCAGTGTCTGCCCTTGCCCTGATAGCCGAACGCGGGCGTTTCCCCCAAGAAATGGGGCACGGCCGCTCCTCGGCCTTGGCTGCGTTGGGCTGCAAGCAGCCAAATACCACGTGCCGAGCCCAAAACGCAGCGATTTCCCCCAAAACCATGCCCGGGGGATTGGGCAGCGTGGCGCCCCGCAGCCGTTCCACCTCGTGCTCGCCGGATCAGGCGCTGGTAATTTTCCCTTTCTGCCCCGAACGGGGTTGCTGAATTTCCTTGTCGGGGTGGGTGGCACCTCGGCGGGCGGGGAGAGCCCTGTTGTTGTCAGGAAATTTGGGACCCGTCCAGGTGAGGAGCACGGTGCTGCCGTTTGCTGTGCATGAGCTGACGCCCGGGATTTGCCTACCCGGGAGCCCTCGTGCGCCGCTTCTCTTCCCGTCGCAAATAACTGCGAAAGGAGCAGGAGCAGCCAAACGCCACCGAGGTTGGGAGGAAAACAGTAATTAAGCAGCGTCTCGTCAGCGCTTCTGGTTGCGATCCCATCTCCCCGTGGCCGCCTCATCTGAATGGAAACGTCGGGTCCCAGAGCTGCTGCTGTGGGGCTGCCACTCCATGGCCCTCAGCGGGTGGAGCAGGAGGGATGAGGTTGGAGAGAGCCGGGGATCGGGGCAGGCTGGGGGTGACCTGCTGGAGAAGGACCTGGGGGTCCTGGTGGGTGACAGGTTGGCCATGGCCAACCTCTTCTCAGGGCTCTGTGGGGACAGGACAAGGGGCAGTGGCCACCAAATGGAGCCCAGGCAGTTCCGCACCAACACGCCAAAGAACTTCTTCCCGGGGAGGGTGCCGGAGCGCTGGGACAGGCTGCCCAGGGAGGCTGGGGGGGCTCCTTCCCTTGGAGCCTGCCCATATTTCAAGCTGCCAGCTCCCTTTCAGCTGCTGCGAGTTCTATGCGAGGGCAGCTTCCTAGCGGCTGAAATGCAGCCGCTTTGGGGTGAAATGTGGCATCTTTGCAACCCTGCGGAGACGCTCAGTCTGGGCCACCAGGCGGGTGATGCTTTGGAGGCACGTCAGGGGTGGACGGAGAGAAAAGAGCTGCCGGGGAGATCGGGGTCAGCAGTCGGAGCTCCCCCTTGGTGGCCCGGTCAGGGCTCATTCGGAAGGACCAGCCAGCAGCTTTTGGCACTTGCCACCTCTCCATCACAGGCACACTTCACCCAACCCTACAAAACCTCATTGCTCCTTGTGCCTGCTCCTGCTGCAAGCCAGCATTTTTTTTTAATTTTTTTTTTTTGCTGCTTTGTTGGGTTTCTTTGTGATTTTTTTTTTTTAAACCTGCATAGGTGAAGGCTTTCCCATATCTCATTCCAAACCCCCGGAGCCGTCGCGTCCTGTGCGTGGCTTCCCCACCCGGCTCCCCGTGCCCCGGAGGAGGCAGCACCGCGCCGCTTCTCCTGCCGGCCTCCAGCCCAGGCTCAGCCCGGTGCCGAGGCCCCGGAGACCGTCCCTGGGGAGGCTCCTGGTGCCTCCCCCGTGCCTCTCCTTGCTCTTGCCCCCTCGCCGTCTGGGCCGCTGTGGATCCGAGCCTCCGAGGAGCCGCACAAAGGGCGTGTTGTGCGAGGAGAATGAGCCCGCGGAGCCGCACAGCTCGCCATGCCATGCCAGCCCTCGGCGGTCTCATGACCCCGCAGCCGTTCCCACACTGTCCGGCCGATTGTCCTGGCCCCCCCCCATCCTGGGGGGGTCACCTCGCGTGGCCTGGCTCCCCTCCTACACTCCCACCCCCCCCCCTTTTGGTCCCTTCTTGTCCCCGGGGGCTGACAAAGCCCGGCTGTGCAGGCGGTGCGGCTCGGCTGCCGGCGAGATTAGCGCCTGCAGCTTCAAAATGCTTCGTGCAGCTCAAATTCTCCTCAGGGAGCCGGGGGGTGAGGGGGGGGGGAAGCTTCCCAAAAGCATCGGGTCTGGAGGGGAGGAGGGGAACGAGGCCTGGACCCTGCGGGGAAGGCGGGGGGACCTTCCCCAAGGTCGTGCCTGGAGCCGGTGCGTGCGCTGCTGGGCCTCCTGCTCCCTCTTCCTGGACAAATTCATCTTAAAAACCCATCAGCTACGAGCCTTGAGCTGAAATCCTGAAATATTTTGGGTGGGACATGGGGTGAGAGGGGTGCTGCTGTGCTCGGTGTTACAGGCAGGACCTCCAGGGGCTGCGGGACAAATCCAGCCCTGACCCCCAGCACGTGAGCACAACGGGGCTGCGGAGAGCTTAAAGGCTGGTGTAAGCATTCCTGTTAAATACTGAAGGTTTCACATCAAATTGGTGTTTCGTGGCAGGTTATTGATTTATTTATTTCCTCCCCCAGAGCTTCGCACTGCCCCTTTTCCCTCTGCCGGTTCCTCTACGAGGACCACTCGGTGCTGCCCCCGAGCCAGGGTGGAGGCGTGGAAAAGGGGACGGGAGAGGGGCACGAGGCCTCCTCCTGCTCCTCCTCTGCACAAAACGAGCAGGAGCCAATGTTCCTTTTTTTTCCCTCGAGTTAATAAAGTTTTTAAAAAAGGAGGTTTTGTGCGCGTCCCTCTGCAGCGGGCAGCACCTCCACCCCGAGGAGGAGGGAGGAGAAGGGCGCTGCGCCCATCTCACAGCTGGGAAGGCTGGGGCTGGGAGGAGATTAGGGGCTGGGAGGAGGTCAGGGGCTGGTTTGGGGCTGGGATTTGGGCAGGTTTGGCCCCGCTGAGCTTGGCCCTGCAGCCGGCAGCTTGCCGATGGGGAGAGCACCCCTTGGGGTGGGGGCGAGCGAGCCCCTGGCTGCTGGCTTCGCTTTGGGGTTTTCAGCCCAAGCAGATCCCCTTTTGCCACGCCACGGCACCCACAGTGACGTTTTAATTTCGATTTTGCCTCTTTTTCCAAACCAACCCTAGTGCTAGAAGGAGCTGTGGCTCCTGCCGAAGCACTCCTGAGCCGGGCACGTTGTGGGGCCGAGTTCCCAGCACCCCACCAGCGCCTGCTGAGGCTTCCCAGAACGGTCAGGTGCAGGTTTCCACGCTCCCCCTGCCCCTGTGGGGCTTTTGTGGGGTTTGTTCAACGCCCCCACTGCCCTACGGGGCAGGCGCTGGTGCAGCGGGGCCGTGGGTACCCGAGGTGCTGCGAGCTGTGCGCGGAGCTGCGGGGCTGAGGGGGAGAGGTTTTCCCCACAATTACAGGCTGGCAGCAGGGGGGTGGCAAATAAGTTTGCCAAACTTTTTCCTGCTGAGCTTGTGGGGCCACAGAGCGCTCACGGTGGCACCGAGCAGTGGTCCAGGGCCACCAGCAAGGCTGAAACCCAGCACCAGGCTCGCTCGTGGCTCGGTCCAGGTGTGGCCGACCAGTTTGGGTACACGGGGGCTGCTCCTCCTCCTCCTTCCGTGCCCATCCCAGGTAGCTGGCAGGGCAGCAGGTGAGGCTGAGACGTGCGGATATTTGGTACCCAGGGGTTGGGAACCCGGCAGACGCCCCCAAAGAATCGCATCCCTCGTGGCTCACCGCCTTCCCTCTCTTCTCCCCGCAGCTCCTTTGCCTCGGAGATGGCGGGCGGCGTGGACGGCCCCATAGGGATCCCGTTCCCCGACCACAGCAGCGACATCCTGAGCAGCCTGAACGAGCAGAGGAACAATGGGCTGCTGTGTGACGTTGTCATCTTGGTGGAAGGCCAGGAGTTCCCCACCCACCGCTCCGTCCTGGCGGCGTGCAGCCAGTACTTCAAGAAGCTCTTCACCTCAGGGTTAGTGGTGGACCAGCAAAACGTGTATGAGATAGACTTTGTGAGCGCCGACGCCTTGTCGGCCCTGCTGGAGTTCGCCTACACCGCGACCCTTACCGTCAGCACTTCGAACGTCAGCGACATCCTCAACGCCGCCAAACTGCTGGAGATCCCGGCGGTAAGGGATGTTTGCACGGATCTCCTGGACAGGAAGATTCTGGCCAAAAATGACCAGATGGATATAGTAGATCAAATTGATCAGAGGAACCATCTCAGAGCAAAAGAGTACCTGGAGTTCTTCCAGAGCAACCCCGTCAACGGCCACCAAGGCAGCTTTCCGTGGACCAACTCAGAGTTGAGAGACCTTCAGAGACTGAACTTCCGAGGCCAAGAGGAAGAGGAGGAGCCGGACTGCAACGGCATGGACTTCTACTCGCAAGCCCCCCTAAACGAAAGACCAAAGGCGAATGACTGTGATCCCGACAGCAACCCGGCCATGTGGCTGGACAGAGAAGAGGACGAGGCAGCGGCGGTGGCGGCGGCGGTGGCGGCCCCCGGCTCCATGTACTCGCCCTCTCAGAACGGACATTACAGCAGCCGCGGCCTGCCCACGCCGGGAGAAGAGGAGGTGACTTCGGGGGGCCCCCTGGACCAGCAGGAGCCCGGCGACTCCCCCGGCTTCGTGGCCACCGGGGCAGACACGGAGGACGACGCGCGGGAGGTGGACGGCCTGGCCGCCAGCGCCCTGCTGCAGCAAATGATCAACTCGGTGGGGAGACAGCAGCTGGGGGACGACGACCGAAAGGACGACGACGGGGTGATGGATTATTACTTGAAATACTTCAGCAGTTCGAACGAGGGCGACGTCTACCCGTCCTGGTCCCAGAAGGTGGAGAAGAAGATCAGGGCGAAAGCATTCCAAAAGTGCCCCATCTGTGAAAAGGTGATCCAGGGGGCCGGCAAGCTGCCGCGCCACATCCGCACCCACACCGGCGAGAAGCCCTACGAGTGCGACATCTGCAAGGTCCGATTCACCAGGTAAGGAGCGGGCAGGAGCCCCGGCACGGCGCGCGGGCTTGAGTAATGCTGAAGGTCCTTCCCAGCCCGCGGGGTTCGGTGATTTTATTTTGCGGGGACCGATTTGTGTCATAGCAGGTGGTTTGTGTGTGAAGGTTGGTGTTTTGCACAAAACGAGCAATTTGGGGGGCTTAAGGGGCCGGGTCTTAACACCCGGTTCCCTTACCGACTCGGGGAGCCCCTTCCAGGTGTCCCAAATTTCTGACCTCTGCTGGAAACCCGCCCGGGCCCAGGCTTCTGCAGACACCAAGCAAGGCGGTGGCTGAGCCGGAGCTGCACCCTCTGCGTTCTCGTGGCTGCAGTGCTGGGTCCTGGCTGCGGAGCCAGGGAGCGAGGCGAGGCTTGGAAAGCGGCGTAGGAACGGAGGAACGGCTCCGTCTGATGATGGAAACATCCGTGGCCGGGGGCCGTGCCAGGCGCTTGGGAACAGGCTGATCCCCACGCCGTCCGCGTCCTCGCAGCGAGGCGAGCGGAGCCGCTGCCGCCCTCAGCTCCTGCCCCGAGCTCGCTGCGGCTCCCCGGGGGCCTCCTCCTCGCCGCCGCTTCTCCTCCGCCGTTCTCCGCTCTCCCCCTGGGCCACGGGAAGGAATGCTGGAGAGAAAAAGGGGGACATTGTTGGGCTTCCTCTGCTCCACGTTCGGCCGAGCCTTGCGGCACAGCCTCGTGTCCCACCCGGCCTCCTCCTCCTCCTCCTCCTCCTCACAGCGCCGGGAGGCAGATCACAGATCGCGTGGGCTGCCTGGCCGAGGAGCCAACCCCCCCCCAAGCCCTGCCGCCTGCTTCCTGCATGCTGAAACCCTCCCGAGCCCCGCAAGCCGCCCCCTGAGCCCCCTGCACCCCAAAAAACCTCGCTCGGGGCCGCACCCAGGCAGCACGGGACCCGCGTCCGATAGCTGAGGAATGCCGATAATGCCGGGGGCAGGGTGCCAGCCCCCCCTGTCTGGGCAGCACCTCCCTGCTGGGTCTGCCCGTGGGGGCTGCCCCCGCTTCGTGTGCCCCACGTCCCAGCACAGAACGTGGCCCCAAACCCCTTTGGGGTCCGAGGTGCTGTGGGGTGTGTGTTCCCCTGCCCTGGCTTCGCGGTGTTGCCGTCAGGGCCCGGCGTGCTGCTGGAGGCAGGGAGGAGCAGAGGTCAGGCTGGAGCTGTTTTTTTTTTTTTGGGTTTGGTTTGGTTTCGGAGGTGGAGGAGTTGGAGATGAGGCCGCCTCGTTCGCTTCCTGCTTTGCTGCGGGGCTCCTGCCTGCACCCCGCTCCCACCCAGCTCCTGGGGGGCTTCTCTCCTCCAAAGCAGGGATCTGGATGAAGCCTCGTCCTTAGCCCAGCCTGGTGTTGAGCTGTTTCATAACACACCGGGGCCGTGTTATTTCCAAACGTCCTCCCACCCCCCCGATTTCTCGAGTCCTGCATTCGGCCACGTCAGAGCCCTGCTCGGGGTAACCCCGGCTGCCTCGGGGCCCTTCAGCATCCACCCCATTCCTCGCCTCGCTCCGCTGAGCTGCTGCCGGGACCGCTCCCAGCCCCAGTGCTGAGTCAGGCAGGGTTCTCGGTGATCTGCCCCAAATCATCAGCTCGCTTCTTGCTGCTGTGCCGGGCTCGTTTGCCTCGTCCCTCGTGGGACACGGGCACGAGGCTGGGCTGGGAGGGAGCGGGGGGGACAGGGGGTGGTGGATCAGGGTGAGGATCCGACCCCCCCTGCCTGCTTCCCCTCCCGGCCCTCGGCTTTGTGCTGATTTTTGCTTGCTTTGCTTCCTGGTTCCTCTGCCCTCGGACGGGGAGGAGCGGCGGAGTCGCTCAAATAATCTGTGAAAGAAAGGCAGAACGGTTTTATACAAATTAAACTTATTTAAAAAAAATAATAATCCATTTCAACGTGCTGCAAACCACGTAGTTTGTTCTGAGGACGGCCGCGTTTCCAGCCCCACGGGGAGCTGCCTCAAACCCCCTCACGGCGGGGCCACACTCGGGGGTCCCCTCGCCCCCAGCCTCTCTGCTCGCCCGCGCTGTCCCGCCGCACGCTTCGCCTCTTGATTCTCTCCATCCCAAAGCGAGCTGCTCTGCCTCCCCGGCACCCAACCCACCCGCTGCCAGCACCCTCAAAGCCTCGGGTTTTTGTAACGTGGGCACTGCCGGAGCCGCGCCGGAGCCCTCCTCGGAGGCATGGGGCAGGCGGCTTCGCTCGGACCAACGCAGCTCCGGTGCCTCCTGGTGCCTCCCGGTGCCTCCCGGTGCCCCCTGCCTCGCCGAGGGGCTGCCGCCTGCCCCGGGGTGCAGGTGGAGGCTGGATTTGGGCCACCACCGCCGTGATGGAGAGGGAGAGCAACGCCAACGCCGGGCGCGAGGAGGAGGAGGAGGAGGAGGAGGAGGACGGCGGAGCGCAGCCTTCAGCCTGCTGGCCCCCCTCGCTGACCTGCCCCCTGTCCTTTCTCTCCCACGCAGGCAGGACAAGCTGAAGGTTCACATGAGGAAACACACAGGGGAGAAACCTTACTTGTGCCAGCAGTGCGGAGCCGCTTTTGCTCACAACTACGACTTGAAGAACCACATGCGCGTGCACACCGGCCTGCGGCCCTATCAGTGTGACAGCTGCTTCAAGACTTTCGTCCGCTCTGACCACTTGCACAGGCACCTTAAAAAAGATGGGTGCAACGGCATCCCGTCCCGGAGGGGCCGCAAGCCCCGGGTGAGAGATGCCGGGGGGCTGCCCACCCCCACAGGGAACCCCGAAGACGGAAGCTTTCAAGCCGGGGGGGAGAGTCAAGAATCAGAGGACACCGTGCAGAGGAACGGCCAAGAGCAGCACTTTGAAGATAGTTCTAATAATGAAGCGCCAGGATTGAATGTAGCAGGAGGGTCGTCCGAGGGCAACACGCAAGGACTCTCCTAAACCAAAAAAAAACCAGAAAGTGTCACAAAATCTAGTTAGTACTTTTTCCTCCGATTTTTTTCTCTTTAAAAGATGTTTCTCTCCCTTTTTTTTAAAAAAAAGAAAAAAAATTGAAATATATATATATATTATGTTTCCAATCTTCCCATCGTAACCAGGGCTCCCCCGAGGATCCCTCCGTAGCCAAGGACCTTTTGGTGGAAAGGCAGACGCTAGGAAGCGTGGGGCGGGGATGGAGAGCGGCTCTGTTGCATGGAAAGGAGCTTCCATGTAAATCCAAAGCTTTATTTTGTGTCCAAACACACGTTAAAAAAAAGAAATTATTTCAGAGAGATATCTATTTAAAAAAAAAAAAATAGAAAAAAATGGTAAGAGTTTGAAGGGCTCTTTCAGGGCGGGCGGTACACGCGGTGCCTCGGAGGGCTGGGAAGGAGCGGGCCCGGCCTTCTCGCCTCCGTTTTTGCAAAGCTAAAAAAGCTCCACGCGGGGTGCTCAGGTGCTGACGTCCTGGGATCGGGATCGGGATCATTTTTTTGGGGTAGGGAGCGGGGCCCTGCCGCCCGGCCCCCCGCTGCGGCACCCATCCGCCAGCGCCTGGTGGTGAGCGGAGCCGCGGGCAGGGCTCGGTGGCAGAATCGCCCGGCTGCCCCCGCAGGGTTTTTTGGGGTCGCTGCCCCCGCAGGGGGTTTGTGGGGTCGCTCTCAGCACCGGGTGTGCGTCGGCCCCGTCCCAAACCCGGCTTTGGGGCCGTGGGCGTGTGGCTGCGCCCGGTGCTGCCGCCGGCCCCGGCGCGCACCCTAGGCCCAGAGCCGGCCGCGGACGGGGCCACCGGGCCCAAACGGCGTTTTTCTGCCATCGGGGAGTTGGTTTTTTTGGTTTTTTTTTGCTGGGCCAGGCCCTACAGGATCTCCACCTCGCCCCCCCCCTCTCCCCTAGGGTGTTTTTGTTGGCTCCTGGACCCAAACTCTGCTCCCCCCCCCACCCCCCCACCCCCAGACCCCAGCAGGCGCTGCTGAGGCCTCTCCCCGCTCGTGGCACCCACGGCTCGCAGCGGGGCCGTGGTGTGGGTGCAGCCAAAAACCCCCCTCGGTGCCCGGGGACCCCTCAGGAATAGGGCCCGGCCCCGGCCCCGGGGCTGTGCCGTGCGCCCACCGAGGCGAGGCCGGGGGCTGGGGGTCACCGCCACCCCCCCTTCCGTCCCCGTCCCCGTCCCATATTTTTAGGCACTCGGTCAGAGCCAGCAGTGTTCCCGCACGCCCAGAAAGCGCCTAAAAATGGCAGATTCCTTTTAAAAAAGGTTATTTGAGGACTCCCTTAAAGGGGAAGGAGGCTTTTGGCAGGAGGAGCTGGGAGGGGCGAAGCCAAGCGCCGGCCGCGGCGGTTTGCGGCTTTATGGCTGCGCAGCCGGGGCTGGACACCGGCGGCACCGTCACCCGTCGGGCACTGTCACCATACGGTCCCCGTTGTCACCATACGGTCCCCGTTGTCACCGTACGGTCCCCGTATGGTCACCGTCACCGTACGGTCACCGAGCTCCACCCAGCCCCTCAAGCCATGGCCACCCCAAACGTGGTTTGGGGGTTTTTGGGAGGCCGCCCTCCTCTTCCTCGGTCCCACACCGGGGCTGTGGGAGCAGGCAGGGGGTCCCCAAAAATGCTGACCGACCCCGGTTCCCCCCCCCCCCCCCCCCACGCCCCGGGATGGAGGCGATTTACGGCCTCAGAGCAGAGGCCGGGGTGCGCCATGCGCATCCCCCCCCCCCGGGTTAGCAGAGGGCGATAGCAGAGGCACCTTTCAGCCGGTCACCTGTTTTCTAAATGCACATTTTTTGAAAAAAAAAGAGATTTTAGTCCTTTTATTTTGAAAGCACTTTTTAGATTCTTTTTTTTTTTTTTTTTTTTTTCCCTTTTCGGTGTTTGTTTTTTAACTTTCAAAGCAAGAGCAGGTTTGGCCGAATGTATTTTGGAGAGGGAGTGAGAGGGGAGTGTGTGATGGGGGGAGGGCTTGAGTGATGGGGTGGGGGAGAGACGGATGTTTATTTAATGCAGAAAAAAGCAATAAAAATAAAAAACTATTATAAAAAAATAAAAAAAAAAAAACAAAAACAAAGAAGTCTTAGCACTTTGCGATGGAACGGGTACTTTGAGATCACTTTATCTTAATTTAAAAAGCAAAAGCAAAAGATGTTTACAAGTCAAAACCAACTTCTACGGAAAAAAAATATTATTAAAAATCCTAAATTTATTTTTGTAAGAAAAATGTGTATATATATATATATATTTAAAAAAAAAAACACGTAGGCAGAATCCAAGGTATATTTCATGGAGTAATAAAAGCCGAAAGGTGTCCAATGTGAGGAACGATGCTAATTAGGTTCTGTGACATGCCCTGAAAATAGACCCTCAGAAGTCGTTGCACTTCACAAAAAAAATGGAAGCTTGAATTTTAGGCAGGAATCATGGTTTTTGTTTTGTTTTTGTGTATTGTTAATTTCTCCCCCCCCCCCCCCACGCCCCTCTCTTTTTTTTAAAAAAAAACAAGAAAACGACAAAAATTGTTAAATGTTTCATAGCCAGTGCTTCTCCAGATGTGTCTCCTGTCCCCGGCCTGGTTGTGCCCGCGGACCCAGCTCTGTGGTGTGGGGCCGGAGCTGTGGGGCCTGGTCCATGGGGTCAGTGCTGCAGGGCCTGGTCCCATGGGGCTGGAGCTATGGGGTCGGTACTTTGGGGCCTGGTCCCATGGGGTCAGCGCTTTGGGGCCTGGTCTCCATGGGGCTGAAGCTGTGGGGCCTGGTCCCATGGGGTCAGTTTTTGGGGCCTGGTCCCATGGGGCTGAAGCTGTGGGGCCTGGTCCCATGGGGTCAGTTTTTGGGGCCTGGTCCCATGGGGTCAGTGCTGCAGGGCCTGGTCCCATGGGGTCAGTGCTTTGGGCCTGGTCCCATGGGGCTGAAGCTGTGGGGCCTGGTCCCATGGGGTCAGTTTTTGGGGCCTGGTCCCATGGGGTCGGTGCTTTGGGCCTGGTCCCATGGGGCCGGAGCTGTGAGGCCTTGTCCTATGGGGCCAGTTCCGTGTGCCCTCTGCCACCACCCTCGCACCCAGCCCCATCCTCCAGCCCCCCCCCTGCCCGCAGCCCACCCCGAGCCAATTCGGGGGGCCCTGGGTGTCCCTCGTCCCCTATCTCTGTTTGGGGGCCCCGCCTGGGCGCCGCAGATAAACCCCGTGCCTGCCCCCACCGCCGCCCGCCCTCCCCGGAGGCTGGTGCCAAGCCCCTCGCCTTGCAGCACCGTGTCCCCCCCCTGGCACGGGGCCCTGTCCCCTGTCCCCATGTGTCAGTGAGTGCCTTGGGGACGGGGACGGGTCCCAGGGCCCTTTGGGGCCGAACCTCTGCTGAGCACTGGCTAACTCTGGCATATGCAAAAAAAACAACAAAAAACCTAGCGTGGACTTGTAAATAGACAGTTACTTGAGGTTCTTTCTTGTAATCAACGTTGTGGTATTTTCTTTTCTAGTTTGTGTTACTTCTCCTGCTCTTCTCTGTCCCCCCCCCCCCCATCGCCTCTCTTCTCCTTTTCCCCCCTCCCCAGCCCCAAAGGAGCATTTTGGAAGCTTGGTGTTTCTCCCCCGGCCACCTTGGAAGGAAAACCCAGCGCCCTTTTCCTCCCCTGCCACTGAAGGTGGACGGCAAAAAAAAAGGAAAAAGGACAAAAAATAAGGAAAAAAAAAAAAAAGAGAGAAAGAGAGAAAGAATTAGTCTCAGGATTCCCCGTGGAGAGCGCGTCCCCAGCCCGCGATGTCCCCGCCGGACACTAACCCCCCCCCCCCCCCGTGGCCTCTCCCGCGCCGCCGGACGGACGCCCCCCCGTTTGCTGGCAACACTTTAGCACAAGTTTGAGTTTGCACTAAAAAAAAAACCACGAAAATTGAAAAAAAAAGGAAAAAATAAAAAACCAACCTCCCCCGGCCGACCCAGGAGCGATCCGTGCCCATCTCGGCGGGGGGGGGTCCCACGCCTTAACCCCCCCGAGCCGTGCGAGGGACACGGAGGAAAATCCAAGCGCCTGCAGCCCCCCCCCCGATCGTATTCTGTATATAAGCACCAATTTGTTGTCATTGTTGTCATTTATTATTATTATTTTTTTTTCAATTCAGGTTGTGATAAAGTGTTGCCAAAGATACTGCTGAGTTACGACGTTTCAGGAAAAAAAAAAAAAAAAAAGGAAATGAGAGGAAAAAAGAAAAAAATAGAGCCTAAAAAAAAATAAAATAAAAGGAAAGAGCTCCTTGGAAAGCAGACACAGAAATCAAACTGACACAGTAAAAAAAAAAAGAAAGTTTAAAAAGAAAAAAAAAGATTTCTGCCTGGTTTTCTTTTTTTTTTTTTTTTTTTGGTACAGAAGAGGAAAAAAAAAAAAAACAGCCCAGGGCAGTGGGGCCGGGGGGGGGCACAGATGGCAGCGAGCCCTGGCCCCAAAGCTGGGGGGGTCTATGGCTCGTTTGGGGTCAGCGGTTGCAGGGGGGGGGGTCCTGCACTGGCTTCACCCCCTGCCAGGTATGGGAGGTATTAAGGGGGGGGTAACCCAGATTTGGGCTCCTTACCCCCCCTCTTTTAAAGATGCTGCATCCCCCCCCCCCCCCCCCCCCCCTCCCCCCCATGGCACCAGTGCAGGGGCTCCGGCCCCACAGCAATGGGGCTGGGGGGGGGGGGTCCCAGCAGTGCAGGGATCGTCCCCCCACCCTCAGCTGGGCCAGGGGGGGCTCAGGCAGTGTGAAGGGGAATCCCCCCCCCAAGGAAAAGGGCTCAGCCCCCCCCCTTCTCCTTCAGCCCCCCCACTCCCAGTGCCGGCGCCCCCAGCCCCAGGGTCATGTTCCCCCCCCCATAGCGCTCCCAAGGCCTGATTCGACTATTTAAAAAATATCTATCTATATATCTATCTATTTATATTTTCGAGTTATTATGAAAGTTTTTATTTAAATAAAGAGGAACACTTTAAAAAAATATATAAAAAAAAAGAGCAGTTCCCACATCACAGGACCGAGCTTTCGGAGCCGGGAGGGTCGGCGGGGTGGGGTGAGGGTTTTTTTTTTGGGGGGGGGGGAGGAGGGAGCTGCTCGGGACGAGCAGCAAAAAATGCTGCAGCGAAATTCAGTTTTCCAAAAATTATATATATATATACACACACCCCGAGAGCCGATTTGTTCTGGGGCAGGTGGGGCACGCGTGAGCCCGAGCCCAGGAACTAAAGCGATTTGGTGCCAGGAGGCAGAGAGGAGATTCGAGATGGGGCCACAATTTTTTATTTTAATTTTTTTTTTCTTTTTTTTTTTTTTTTTCTCTGCGTCTTTATATATAATCTATTAAAAAAAACCAAAAAAACAAAAAAACAAAAAACGAGAGGTTTCTCTTCTTATAAAAGCACTCGCAAAGGTTCATCGGTTTTATGTGTTCAACTACTTTTTGTGGTATCTGGGTAACGAGCGAGGTGAGAAAAGCACAGAAAAGACATTCCATAGATTGTAACTTTGATAGCTCTTTATAAAAACGTGTGGGAGACGAGAAAAAAAAAATAAAATAATAAAAAATGCACTTTTGGGGGGGGCTTTAAAAAAATAAAATATATATTAAAAATACGCACGCAGCCGCTTGGTTTTCTTGGGAGGCAGAAACGCTTATCGGGGGCAACAGCCTCGGGGGGGGGGGTCCTTTATTTTGAGGCTATTTTATGGTTTGCTTTTTTTTTGGGGGGGGGAGAGATCCTCTATTTTGAAGCTATTTGAGACTATTTTATGTTTTTTTTTTTTTTTTTAATTTATTTTATTTTATTGGGGGGGATCCTCTATTTTGAGGCTATTTTATGGTTTTTTTTTGGGGGGAGGATCCTCTATTTTGAAGCTATTTGAGGTTATTTTATGTTTTGCTTTTTTTTTTGGGGTGGGGAAAATCCTCTATTTTGAGGCTACTTGAGGCTATTTTGTGGTTGTTTTTTTGTTTATTGTTTGGAGGGGGAGATCCTCTATTTTGAGTCTAGTTAACAGTTTTGGTTTGGGGGGGGGGGGGGGAGATCCTCTGTTTTGTGGCTATTTATGTCTTTTTTGGGGGGGGAATCCTCTATTTTGAGGCTATGGGTTTTTTTGTTTGTTTGTTTGTTATTGTTTTTTTGGGGGGGGGGCTGGAGGGAGGAGAGATCCTCTATTTTGAGGCTATTTTATGCTTTTTTTTGGGGGGGGGGAGGTGGGGTTAAGATGAGGCTGGTGCCCCCTGAGCTGGTTTGGGTTGGGGGGGGGGACCTGATGCAGCCCCCTCCCCTTTGTTTTGCCCCCCCCCCCCGGTGCCCCCCATCCCTGCTGATTGCCTTAGGGCCGATTTGCCCCCTCTAAGCCGCTTGCGGCGCCGCCGAGGTGCGAGGGCCGGGGCCGTAATCCCGATTTTTGTGTGCAGATTAGGGCTGGGGCAAACCCCGCTGTCCCCCCCCCCCAGCCCCAGCACGCAGATGGCCACGATTTAAGGAGCCTTTGGGGCGGGGGGGGGGGGGCTGCAGGAACCACAACGGGCTGAAAATGGGGAAACTGAGGCAGGTTCGGGGGGGGTCAAATGGTTTTGGGGCCATCACCTCCCCCCCAGGCTCACGCCTGTCCCCACGCAGCCCCAAACCTCCGGACACCCCCATGGGGTCCCCGGGACCCCCGCCCCACTCGGGGGGGGGCATCGCCGGCGTTATAAGATTAAGTTTGTGTCATAAGCTTCCTAGTTTTCGAGGCCGCTACGAGCTTTGGGGGTTTAATCCCCTGGGATTAGGTGGCCAAGTCGCCTTTCTTAGCGAGACGCCCTAATGCCATTAGCACCTGGGATCCCAGATATTCATTAGGGCCGTCGGGGACAATTAGCGGCAGGAAAAAACATAAAATTAATAGGGCAGGGTCCCATCCCCCCCCCATGGCCTTCTGAAAACGGTGGCTTAATCGGGCAAATGCAGCCCCGCTGCCCCCCCCTCCCACCGCAGGGATTAAGCCCCATATGTGCGTCCCCCGGGGGACCGGGACCACCAGGGGTGGGGGTGTGGGCACCCCGGCTGCTCAGCCCCCCCCCGTGACAATGCCAGGGGGTGCCAGGCCCCGATGGGGTCACCCTGATAAAAGGGGGGGGTCCCCAGCAGGGTGCATGGGGTGCTGGGGGCTGGCTCCGGCCCCATTGAGGCCTGTAGGGTTTTGGGGGGGGGGGGGTCCCATGGGGGTGCTGGTGGCATCCACGGAGCTCCCTCTGAGCAGGTCCTGCGTCTGGAGACCCCCCCAAAAAAAAACACAGCCCCCAAGCACAGGGCTACAGGAAGGGGACACGGGGAGCGGGGAAGAAGGGGGCGAGGACGCGGGGGCCGGGGACCCGTCCCCACCGCGCTCGCTCGGGCAGGGAGAGGCGGGGGGCAGCGGGCAGGGCCAGGGGGGGCAGCACCGGGGGGGCCAGGGGGGGCCCGGCAGGCAGCGGGGGGCAGCAGGGGCAGCAGCAGCCGAGGCCGTACAGGGCGTAGGGGTGGCAGTAGCCGATGTTCACCGCCAGCCTGCGAGGGGAAGCAGAGCACGGGGTCAGCCCGCAGACCCCCAAAACCCACCCGGACACCCCCTTGACCCCCCCCCACCTTCCCCAAACCATCCCGGCTCACCTGCGGATGCGCCTGCGCGCCCGCCGGCGGTGGTAGTCGCCCTTGGCGAAGTCGTCCAGGTTGGCGGGGTGGATGGCCCAGAAGTGGCCCTTGCCGTTGTCGCTGCGGCCGGCTTTGACGAAGCACTCGTTGAGGGACAGGTTGTGCCGCACGCTGTTGCGCCAGCTCTTCTCCTGGCACGGGAGGTGCCATCAGCCACCACCACCACCACCAACAACAACAACCGCCCCCCACGGGCACCCCACGCAGCCCCTCGGTGCCCGTCCCGGCCATCAGTAGGGACCAGAGTGAACGGCGCCTGAGCGACACCGAGAGCCAGCCCGGCTGAGCTGCCCGTCCCGAAACCATGGCAGAATTTGGGGCCGTTTTTCCAGCAGGTGAAGGTCGGGAGAGAGATGAGGTGAGTCCAACCTCCCCCCTGCCCTCCCCATCTCAGCCCTGCTCCGGTGCTTGGCTCCCGATTGCTCCCCTCCGCCCAAGCACTACAATGGGGGGGTAAAAAGCCCTGAAAACAGCATGAAAACATCTCCCCCCCGCCCTCACCTTGTTCTTGAAGTAGGGGTACTTGTCCATGATCCACTGGTAGATGTCGGACAGCAGCAGCTTCTTCTCCGGGGAGGACAGGATGGCTGTGGAGATGAGGGCGATGTACGACTGCGCCGGCTTGTCCCCGGGCTCCGCAGGGGGCCGTGGGGCTGGCGGGGGGCTCGTGCTGGAGGCAGGGGGTGCGCAGGGCCCCCCAGGATCCCCTCGTCCCGACAGGAGGTACTCGATGGTGAAGGAGGCCCCGGGTGGGCGCGTTCCCCCCGGCGCCGCGTCCCCCATGGTCCCCGCAGCGCAGCCGGGTGCCTGCAAGGGGAAGGGCTCGCGGGCCGGCCCCCGATAATTAGTGCAGATTACAGGGTTTGCTAATTGTGTTTTCACAAACGGGCTGCCTTTGCAAAGCAGCCTGTTTATCTGGCAAAGCCCCGGGTTTAGCGGGATTTGGGCCTTTAAGCCTCATAAATAAAATGATTAATCCGCTGGAGGTGGAGGAATTCGAAGTGGCAGCGAGGTGCCCGCGAGGACGGGGCTAAAGGAGACCCCGCGCCAGCCCCTGCCCACACCTGCACCCTGGCAAAGCTGAAACGAACCCAAAAGAGCACCCAAAAGCCCCCGTTAGAACCCAAAACCCCCCCATTTGCACCCAAAATCTCCGGCAGGGACCAGAGGAGGCTCCGGCCGCCGGCACCGGGAGCTGTTCGGGACCAGGAGCAACGCGACAAGCAGACAGCGGAGTTAAATGTAAATCTTTCTTTTTATTTAACAAACACTATAATTTGAACTTTGAAGAATGTGTACTGAGGGAAAGAAAAATAATTTTCTTTTGTTTTTTCTCTTCTCTTTACAAAAAAGAAAAAAACAGGATATAAGAAAAAACATATGTACAGGAAGAGCTGGCCAACTCAAACAGAAAGCAGTAACAGAAGCATGATGTTTCCAAACAGTGGCTTGGCCTGGAAAATTTAAAAGCAATTAAATTAGAATACAAATATTAGAAAAAACTGGACTCTAAAGCTACTGTGAGCCACAGAACTTTATACAGCAAAACTTAATTTTTGAGTTCTACCCAATTTTTTCATTTGGAATCCCCCTTCCCGCCCCTGCCCCCATTTAAACCTGAAAACATATTGCTTTACGCACAAAAAAATAAAAAAAAAACAACAAAAAAAGAGAAGATAAAGAAAAGTCTGCCGTACAAATCAGAGCTTCTCTGTGGGAGCAAGACCGGGAAGAGCAAACGCCACGGACCTGCCCTGGGGGGGACCCCCCGGCTCCACAAGGGGCCAGGGGACGGAGGGGACAACGCGGTGCTTCTCCGCAGGGCCCCCCCGTTTGTCCCCCAGCTTCACTCTGGTGGGATTCGAGGGGCAGGATGTGGAGACGGAAGCCCCATGGATGCTGTGTCTATAGGTTGAAGCTTCCTCGAGAGTGTTTAGAGGTCAATTCCTCGCTCCGTCCCTAGACGCCTTCAGGTAAGTCACTAACAAGGACTTAAAACAGTTCTGGGTGGAATTTGATGTTGTTTTTTTTTTTCTGACCCAGGACGAGTGCTCGGGAAGGCGCCGCCGCGTGGTTCTGCCTCCCCAAGCCCGTCCCCTTCGCTCTCCACCTGTCCCGTGGGCATGCCAAGGGGCAGAGGCGCCGGCCAGCTTCCCTCCAACGCTTGTTCTCATCCCCAGATGAGAAAAGTCAGCAAGGTCTAAAGCAAAACAGACTTCAGAGGCATTAGTGGGAACAGCAGAGCTGCTGACGCAAAGTCAATTACAAAAATTCTCTAAGACAAAAGTCAAAAGGTTACCATTTGGAAACGCAAAAAAACAACAACAACAACAACAACTTTTTGCCATCAAGAGCATAGCAGTAGCTTTGGGTCTGGGACCAAAGCCTTGAACAGAGAAGTGGAAAGTCCAGAGGCTGCGAACGCGTGGCCACGGGGCTCCGCGCGCCGTCCCTCGGCTCTGTCCTCGCCGCCCTGCCCAGCAGTGCCAGCGGCGGGCTGCGCACCGGGTGGTGACTGAAAGAAACCTGAATTGGAGATTACCGAGGTAGTTGGCTAGAAACTGAGATTCCCCCACCTGGCATTTTCTCGAAGGCCCACGCATCCCTCGCCCGCCCGCCCGCCCCGCGTGCCAGGGGTCCAGCTGTCCTGCAGGGCGCCGCCGCCTCCAGCACCGAAACCTTCTCAGGGAAAAGGGAATGCGCAGCCCTTTGAGTCTTCAAAAACACCAAGTTATTGCACTTCAAAAAATACAACAGGTTTGTGGTTCGAGCCCTCCCCACCCTCCCTCCCCCCCCATGGCTTCTGCTCAACTAAAACGATTCACTACGCACAAATTTCTACGTTACCTTCGGGTCGGGTTAAAAGATTCGAAACGTGTCTCTTTACATGAGGTGCAGAGCTGCTTGAGCTCCTATCTAGAACAGTGCGATTCC